GAGATCAGAAACTTCATCGGAAACCAAAGAAAAAAAAAAACAAAAAAAAAAAAAAAAAAAAAAAAAAAAAAAAAGAAAAAAAAAAAAATTTTTCCCTCCCCCGGGGGGGAAAAGGGAAAAAAAAAAAAAAAAACAAAAAAAAAAAAGAAAGGAAAAAAAAAGAAAAAAAGGGTAAAAAAAAAATACAAAATAAAAAAAAAAAACAAAAAAAAAATTAATAATAAAAAAATATAGGAGTGGTTTTGTTTTTTTTTTTTTTAAAAATAAAAAAGGGGAGAGGGAAAAAAAAAAATAAAAAGAAAAAAAAAAAAAAAAAAAAAAAATTTTAAGTATCAACATGATTTTAGCGTAGTGACGTGGTTTCTTGGTTGGATGTCTTAGAGTAAATTTAATTTTTATTCCAGGACGTGTTGAATCTTAGCGTTTTTTAGCGGCGCTTCACGCAATTGATCGGCTTCTCATCAGCGGTGGCGATGTCCAGAATGACAAAGTTCATCTCGTAGACGCTGTTCAGCTTGTTGGCCGGAATCGGGTAGACGCTACGGGTTTGGCAGCCCTGAAAATTAATTGTTCTTGATTCTCATGCTCTGACTCGAAAATTCTAGCTGAGAATTCAACTTGACGTCACTCACCGGCCTGATCGTCCTGCAGTTGTGGTAGATGTACAAGAAGGGCTCAATCTTGCAGAACTCCTTCTTCTGGCCGAACAATTCGAATTTTCCAAATTCTTCGGTGATGGTCGAGTTCAGCAGGTCGTCGGTGATTACTAAAAACATCAAAAATTCACATGCTTCTAAAGTGTATGCTTTTTTTGTATATTTTCGATAGGTTAGGGGTCTGGATCAGTTACATACAGGGTGTCCCATAAAAAAGCACCCCTCCGGCATTTCGCCATATTACATCCGATCGGTCCCAAATTTGGACCAGAGGTGTATTGGACCCTAAATAACCACAATCCTGAGTTATAGCCCGCCAGCTACAATAGTTTTCGAGATACATCAAAAATAAACTTTATTATCCGTTTTTCATAAGATTTTCGTCGGAATCGACCATTCGAATATTAAGTGAAAATGAAGCGGCAAGCGTTCTTTACCCCTAGAGATTTTTTTCCTGATAAAAATTGATCAAATAACCGTTGATTTCAACAATTTTTGTAACCCAAAGTCACCCCCGATATTAGGCGAAATTAGGGATTCGCAGCGGGAAGTCGATGCAAATCGATGCAAAGTCCAAAAAGATAGCCGAAAAACTGTTAAGAATCGCGTCAAAAATAGGTTTTTGGCGATAACTCGAAAACTACTGTAGCGATCGGGCTATAACTCACTAGGGAAGTGCAAATAAAAAATCTGGAAAACCGCTTAGCAAAAATATGGGTCTGATAGAGTCGACGACGGGGATTCCGAAACTGCAATCAGAATTTGCAAAACGCAATACAAAAAGTATGAGCATTTTAAGTTTTCAGCACTTTCTCGCCCTCCCTTATGAGCCCCTCCCAAAGACGGGTGTCCGCATGTCGAGTGGTGTAGTGGCTAACTAGCCTGCCCTGGGGCGGAGGGCTTGGTTCGGCCCCCGGTCATGCCAAATTTTTGCTTTTGGTCAAAGTCAAGAACTTAGACTTTTCAAAGTTTCGAAGTCCGAAATTTAAATTTTGAACATTTCTTACTATTGACTGCGTGTAGGCTACCACGAAAAAACAGAGGTGAATTTTTTAGTACCCTACCCGTACTCCCGTACGGGCGTACGGGTAGGGCAGTACTTGTACTCCCGCCACCACTTCGTAATCGGTTTCATGAATTTAAAAATTAAGAGGACGGGCTTTCGACTTTGAAACTTTGAAAAGTCTAAAGTTCTTGACTTTGACCAAAAAGCAAAAAATTTGGCATGACCGGGGAGCGAACAAAGACCCTCCGCCCCAGGGGCAGCCTATTAGCCACTACACCACTCGACATGCGGACACCGTCTTTGGGAGGGGCCATAAGGGAGGGCGAGAAAAGTGCGAAAACTAAAATGCTCATAACTTTTGTATAAGCGTTTGCAAATTTGATTGCAGTTTCGAACCCTCGTCGACCTATCCGACCCATATTTTTGCTAAGCGATTTTCCAGATTTTTTAATTGCACTTCCCTAGTCAGGATTGTGGTTATTTATGGTCTGATACACCCTTGGGCAAAGTATGGGACCGATTGGATGTAATGCGGCGAAATGCCGGAGGGGTGCTTTTTTTTGGGACACCCTGTAGAATTTACCTCCCGACTCCATCAAATCAACCTTGATGCCGCCCGTCTTCACGTTTTCGCAGGCCACGGTGCCCCTCACGGTGATGTTCGACTTGGTGTCGAACAGGGCGACGGTGCAGCCGAGGAAGGCGGCGAGGATGAGGACCTTCATACCTGAAAACAAGGGTGGACTGCGGGTCTGCTTGATATTAATGAATGAAAGCGGAGGTATCTGACAGGAAGGCAGCTTCCTGAAGCCTTTTTAAGCGCAAATCTGAGCCAGCCCCCGAACCAATCAAAACCTCTTGCTCATCATCAAAGCCATTTTTATTTTGGCTGAGAATAGATGTTATGGCTTTATGTGACGTCCTCCTGACATCTCGAAAGCCTTGGAAATTGTCTTTGGGCAACAGCAAAGCTACGCGGATTCCAAAAAGGATATGAGAAATTCGGCTTGTTCTACGTAGTTCATAAGATATAATTCCAGATTTTATTCACGAAAAAAACGCCTGAATGATGGAAATTGAAGCTCCATCTTTAGGCTTCAGGGATTATTGACAGTTCACAGCTGTTTCATCCGCAGTGACGACGTCAAGAATGACGAATGTCATGTCGTAGACGCCAAGCAGGTCACTTTGCGGAACGGGATAGACACTGCGGGTTTGACATCCCTGCATCAAACGTTAGAATTCTTGTGTTATTGGACCACCTGTCTGATGGTCCTGCAGTTGTGGTAGATGTACAATAAGGGTTCCAGCTCGCCAAATTCCTTCTTGTGGCCGAAGATAGTGAAGTCACCTTGCGGCGTGCTGGTGGTCGAGTTGAGCAGATCATTGGTGATAACTTAATGGTAGCTGTTATATCGCTGTGACAGGATTTTTCAAACTTGGTTAGCTACATTGACAATTCATTTACGTAATAGCGTATAAGGTTCATGGTAAAGTGACCTCCAGTGCTCATCAGGTCGATCCTGATTCCGGGCTGGCGCCGGGATTGGCACACCACGGTTCCAGTGACGGTGATGTTGGAGCTGGTTTCCCATTCGGCCACGACGAGGCAGAGCAAGGATGCAAAGACGAGCAGCTTCATACCTGAAGAACGCAGTTATCGTTCTTAATGAAATATCCTAGCGAGCATTAAAAACGAAATAAAAGTGTCAAAGTGAATTTCCATGTGCTTCATTCCCTTTTATGCAGTTCACCAGCACCACCGAAACAATTTTCGCAGCTAGGTGCATTAATGTTTTGGCCAATGGCGATGATGTTGTGTCTTCTCATTTAAGAATTTATGGGGCCCTTTGGGGCACGAAATTCGAGATAAAAAAAATATATTTTAGTTGATGAAAATTTTGATTGAAATATCAGGGAACAACTTTTGGGAATGCTGCATAAGCACGAGACGGCTAGTTTTATCTGAATCTTAAATCTTTACAAAAAAATCTTACAAAAATCTCTTAAATCTTCACAAAAAATATCGGAAACATAATAACTTTTGTAAGCCGAAGTCTTCTGCCGTTTTAAGCCAAACGTTTTTGGGAAAGAATATAGGGTGAAATCGAAACTCAAATCGTTTATCAAAAATTTCGCACGAAACGGATTTATTTGCAGTTGACGTCCTCTTCCTTGCGCTGGGCGACGTCGAGGTTGACGAATGTCATGTTGTAGACGCCGTTGATCTTGTCGTCGGGGATCGGGTACGGACTGCGGAGTTCGCAGTTCTAAACCGCATTCATACATGATACTCACTACACAGCATCTTAAAACCCTACGCCACACAACTTTTTACCCGCTTACCGGCTTGTTCCGGCGGCACGCGTGGCTGATCCGAAGGTAGGGCTCAATGCTTCCGATTTCCCATTTCTCGCCGAAAATCTTGAAGTTGCCCTGGAGATCGGTGCGGGTGGTGTTGAGCGTCTCGTCCACGAAGACTGAAAACGACAGCATTTTAAAATTAAAAATTTCGAATTCTTAATTTTTAAAAATTTTGAAGAATGAAAAATAAAATAACAAATTGAAATTTAAAATTTTCAAAATGCTGTATGGGACGATTTACCTCCGGCCTCTCTTAACTCGACGAGCACGCCGGGGATACGCTTTTCCCCGCAGATGACCGTGCCGATGACGGTGATATTGGAGTAGGACCTGAAGTCGAACGAGGCCAGCGCGCAGCAGACCAAGGCGGAGAAGATGAACAGCTTCATTTCTGAGGAAAAATATCGTGATTGGAGAGAGAGAAAGGAGAGAGAGAGAGAGAGAGCCAGAGAGCCAGAGAGAGAGAGAGAGAGAGAGAGAGAGAGAGAGAGAGAGAGAGCGAGAGAGCCAGAGAGAGTGAGAGAGACGGAGAGGGGGGGACAGAGAGAGACAGAGGGCGAGAGACGATAGACACAGCGAGAGAGCGAGAGATCGAGATAGGGAGGGAGAAAGAGGGAGAGGGAGAAGAGCGCGAGCGAGAGGATAAATGCAGATTAAGAGGATGGAGGAGCAAGACAATGGCTACCGGAATTTTTCGCGATGCCATTTTTGCATTATAAAACCAAAAGCGCAAATTTGAAGAGCCTCCATGCCAAAGACGACATTCTTTTCCAATTTCGACAGCCTTTATAAGGAAATTGCCTGACTTATCAAAACTTATTATTCACATTTTTGGGGCCCTTATTTTGACTCTTCCGTATCGTGACGAATGTCATGTCTCTTCCCCAGATTCGCAAAAAATCTGATGAAATTGCGCGCCCCCGACATTTCAATTTTCGGAATCAACATAGAAATTTATTCGAAAAATTTCTCTACAGGGCAACGAAATAGTCGTAGCCGCCTTGGGTTCCGTCCTCTTTTCGCCGACGACAGATCGTTTTTTCGTCGTCTTGATAGAGCTAAAACGACAAATAATATTAGTACTTGTTTACAAAATCAATGTATCTGAAATCGCCCTATTAAGGACGTAACGGATACTTCTAAAACTGGAGGATACAATAAAGAACTAGAGCTAGAAGCGATCTTCTGAACTCACATCAAGCGGTATGAACGACATCTCGTACGTGCTGTGGACATATTCCTGCGGAACGTGGTATCTCACGACTTTTGAGCAGTTCTAAATTTAATTACCGACATCTCATTAAACTTTTATACCTTTGGCGCCAGACAGTTGTGGTGGAGGAGCAGGAAGGGCTCGATACCACGCTCGTACTCCCCGCCACTCACCAAAAAGTTTCCGTCCTTGGCGGTGAGCATTTCAGCGAGTTTGTCGTTGTAGCTGACTGCAAGATTGGCATTAAAAAGTAGCAGCAGAAACAGAAAATTTTTAAGAGATCTCTGCTAGCTAGCCATGTAGGTATGAAGCCCGCGCTGGGTAATAGAAAATTTTTTAGAATCGTATGGTCGTCCTGCCAGCTTAGGCAAGCAAATTACATCCGGAATCTGCGTAAAATCTGCCGTTTTGATGGACATTGGATGGACTTCAAAAAACAAAAAGCACTGGTTTCCTCGCCTTTCCGAAAGCTTTCGGTAGATACCTCAATCGGGAAAAAGGTCACGACTGCGGCCCGCTGGAAGGCGTAGATTTTTTGGACACACTGTTCGGCACGAATCTTAACCAGAAACGACAAATGCGCAGAAAGGAGTAATGCGCCATCGGGATTCCCGCAATTCGAGACTGCCCAAACCCTTCAGAACCAAATCAAAATAACCCACAAAAATCGCGATCATACAGCTCGACGAGGACGTTCTTCATCCGCCTCCCCTCGCAGATGACCGTCCCCTTGACCGTGACATTGGTCCACGGCACCGCCACCACCACGGCAAGACAGATCAAAATACCAAGAGCCCAAATTGCCGTCGAAGACATTTGATTTCGGACAGGCCAAAATCACAAAGAGGCGCTTGGACCCAGAGCATAGGCCGGTTTTTTGCGTTGAATCAGGGGACGGGGAGTCAAAACAGTGCGGGGTGAAGCCGAGGTGAAGCCGCCGGGTGTGGGAGGATGACGAGGTTTTTGGCAAGGCCAACGCGGGGTCTGGGCGGGTGGGCGTGGGATTTGCAAGATTCCCTGGGAAATATTCTCTGAGCAAGATTTTTGTAGAAGCCCTAAAGAAGCTTTTTGCCTCTGAAACAGATACTGAAACGTTTAAGCGTTTCATATCCTTAGACAATGGATTTTGTTGGAATTTGCAAAAAATGACCCCGTAGCGAAGTGTGCCATTCGAAAGCGTGTCAAAAATAGCGCCGAGATTCGTTTGATGCGCGACCTGGTGTGGCTGCTGTGATTTTTGGTAGGTCGGTTCTGACCACCACCACCACACGTAAGAAAGAGTACGTAAAATAGTGGCGAAAAAAGTTTAGTACAAAACCTAGGAGGTCCTGGTTTCGTAGCTAGGATTTTTCGGATTGTGACCTTTCGTCGTTTTGGAGCCAAACGGGGGGCCACATCGAATTTTTCGAAAGTTCGCATCAGCCAGACACGCATTTCAGAGTTTCGCCCTGGACTCATTCGAACCGGCTTGAAACACTGATTCTGATGCCATAACTCCCAAAGCTAAAGTCGCGGATGTGGTTTGACATTAGCCTCAGATTTCGGCTTAGGCTAAGGCTTAGACTTAAGTTAGGCTTAGCCGATAATGAGGTGTCAATACTGCGCCCGGTTTGCATAACAATACGCTTTATCGGTACATAAATAATCTTCCTTCCCATCTAGTCAGAAAAGGCCATAGGTTCCCTCCTCTTCCTCGAATGGAACGGCGTGGTCAAGCCGCCACAGACCACCTCGTGCTTGATGCCATCTCTCTGATCGGTCTTCAGGTCGAGGTCCCCCAGCGTCACCCGGGTATTCACTTCTTCGTCGTAGTCGAGCAGCATTATCTGTGTTTCGATGTGGCAGTCCTGAAAAAAAATGGATTAGCCAGGATGCGTGGAGATGGAAAGCAAGTTTGCTAGTTTTGTAGTGCTGTGGCTTAGGCTTCGCTTAAGCTTCGGCCTTCGGCTTAGGCTTAGGCTTAGGCTTAGGGAATCCAATTTCGGCGGATTAAGATTTTCGAAAGTTTCGACAAAGTGATTTTCGATAAACTGTTAGCAAATCAATAAATCCTGCCGCTCACCACGCCATGTCTCGGTCTTTTCTCAACGACCCCCGTGTAGCGATTTGTCGTCCAAAAGTATCTTAATTCACGCTAACTAGGAGAGCACGAAAAATTCACTGTGGTCCCAGCTTGTTTTCCATCTCTCTCTGCCTGACCTCGTCGGAGAACATGTGGACTTTGCAGCGATGGTGGATGTAGATGTACGGCCTCAGATAGAAGTAGACGTACTCGGTGACGTTCATTTCGAAGTAGCCACTGCGGTTGGACTGCGTTGTGAACAGGAGGTCGTCAAAGACTCAAAAAAAAGAGAGCTGACGTCACGGGTATTGAAAAATGATATTTTTTTTCTCTGACACTTTCATAATGTCAAAGTCACAATTTCGAAATTCGGAGTGCTTCACTTTATTAATGACGAAATTACATAATGTCGATTATAAGCGAATTTCCCGTGAAGTGAGTTTTAAGCCAGAAGCAGGCGTATTTTGTACAGAATTTTGCGATGATTCTGAGCCTGTTTTCAGAAACTGCTCAATTTCTGAATATTTTCCTAACCTTTTTATGGCCATTGAAAATGTGCCGTTTTAGGTTTTTTTGGGCTAAAAAGCCTTGTAACTCCTTCACAATGGCCATTTAGCAGTTTCAGAAAACATACGGAATCAGCGAAGAATTCAAAGTAGACCTGGTTCCGACTCAAAACTACATTAACACTAAAAGGCGTTTCCTACAGCCTAACGCACCTGTATCGTCGTCCCACAACTCGACAGGCAGATCTACCGGGTTATCTGTGCCACAGAAAACGGTGCCGTTCACTAAAAATTATTAAATTTATTGGATCTTATTAAAAATAGATGCCATTAAACCTAGGCTAAACCTAAGCCTAAGCCTGAACCGGTCTAAGCCGAAGCATAGCCGATCAGAGACTAGGAGTAGCTATTTTAATTGTCCTAACTGTAACTTGTTTACCTGTAATGTTCACGTAGTGGGCAGCAACCGGCCCGATGAGCGACACAAGGAGCAGATATTTCAGCATCATGGTAATGCGATTTCGACCGATTCGCCTTTAAAGGAACGTTTTGACGATATGAATCAACCAACGTGTTTCAGGCAACATAATTTTCCGATGGTTTTTGAGGAGTCAAAATAAATGTTGGGAAATTGGATTTTCCCGCGACTTTTGCTTTGCAACGTTTTTAGATGTACAGAGAATGAAATCTATTTAAAAAAAGGTTAAAATTTCAGAAATAAAACACACAAAAACCTGTATAACTTGCTCAAAACTACGAAAACCCAAATTTTCCTGCAATATGTGATTGCTGTGTTTACTACGTAGTTGTTGACATCTTTATGCTAAATAAAGCCGGGCTAGCAAAAATATTATCCAAAAACCCGTTCGGAAATCTTCTAGATCCTGCATTGCTCCAGGCAGACGACGTGGGGCACCGGGCGCATCGAGTGGTGGTAGAGTGAACCATCGGGACCCATTCGGTTGAGGATGGTGGCGAACTGAAGGAAAAACTACCTCATTTGGCTTTGACAAGCTTAGGTTAGGGTTAGGGTTAGGCTTAGGCTTATGGTTAAGCTTAGGCTTAGGCGTCAGCTTCGCACTAACTAACCTGCCAGGTCGAGCAACCGCCGAGCGGATGATCGTAGGGATCGCCGGTCTGGACCGGCCTCGAAAATCGGGCCATGATCATGCCATTCTGATATGAGGCGGCGGTCACGCTGACGCTGTTCTAAAAGTCGAGAATTTCATCTAACAAGGAGACGTTTTTTTAGTGTGAATGGAGTTTTAAGTTGAAACCAGGCCTATTCTGTGCAGAATTTTGCGCTGATTCCGATGCTGTTTTCCAATTTTGCTAAATAGCTCGATTTAAAAAGTTACAGCTATTTTAAGATAATTTTTAGGCCCAGAGTAGCCATATGCTATGCTGTGCTACTTTTTTGTTATAACGTTTTAATTTTGTTTAAGTAGCCTATCTTGTAGAGAATTTTTTTCTGATTCGAATGGTATATTTGATTAGTGCGCTACTGCCGATCCACAATGGCTTACAGGGGTGAGAAATAAGCTGTTTTTCACCATTTCCCATACAAAAATCGCAGTCCATACCAAGTATCGTCGATTTTTTCGATTCTCAACAATTTTGAGTTAAATAGCTTATTCGATAGAGAAAATTTTTCTGAATACGGTGACGATATTTATTTTTGGAAAAACAGCCGGGAAAAGCGATATAATGGTCCCTAAAGAGGGGAAAATTTGGGCTAAAATGATCTTAAAATTGCTATAACTTTTGAAATCGAGCTATTTAGCAGAAATGGAAAGCATATTCGGAATCAGCGCAAAATTCTGCACAAAATGGGCCCGGTTTCCACTCAAAACTCCATTCACACCAAAAAACGTCTCCTTGTAAGAGGCTCAAAGGTTGGTACCGTATCCGGGAACGGGTGAGTGTGTCCTCGTACGTACTCATCGGTCACGTGCACACGTCCGTTCAACAACCTGATGACGATGACGTCGAGGCCGGAGAACTGGAAATTCGGACTTGTGCGTAGTTTGGTGAATCCCCCTGAGGTAGAGGTGAACGCGCAGGGGTTGCGCCAGACCCTTTTAAAGCGCTTCACACGGGCTAAACACACGTTTTCACTGCTCTGTTATGCTCTCGAAGCTTCCGTTTTTTACTATTGCGCCCCCGGAGTGTACATTGAGCAGAAAAAGGCACTAAAACCCAGGACCGGTAGCTTTTTCTCACCCCCCTCCCCAACTTCCGCCTCCCACGGCTTTTTCTGTCTCCATCCGTTAGCCATAACTTTCCTGCTGGCTAGCTGCATAACCTTGACTCCGGGTCCAGCTCCGCGACACTACTCACTCGGACCGGCTTATCAAATTTGCCAAACCGGGGGACCGTGCAGACCGGGCCGGTGCGACCCCGTAAAAAGTAAACACTCGGCAAATTGGGGATGATTCGACTTGGGAGGGCGAGCGGGGTCAAAAAATTGAGTGTGAGTGGACCATGTTTGGCAGACGGTTGAGCCAAAAGTTACCGTAATTTGGCAACCTTGATTTTTAAGGAGAAGGGGGGACCCCAAAACACTCAAATTTCGGGATAAGGATAAGGCCGTTGATAATACAAACCTGTTCTGCACAAACTTTGCGATATTTGGCTAAAGTAACCGTTTGAATATCTCTATATCTCTATCTAACTATCTAAAATTAATACCTACAAGGAGGAAATGGAAAACTAGTATCGTTAGGAAGCAATGGAACTGTCGAATCAAGCGTTTTTAACTTACTTACCATCGAATTACCAAAACCAATTGCCGTCCACCCGTTCGTGTTCGGAACGCCGGCCAGGACGAGTTGGAAATAAATCTAAAAAACATCGAAGCTCAAAGAAATGGTTCGGGTACTCACATTTTGCCCCATCAACCCATATTGCACGCGGAAATTGCCGGCGGCAAATTCGCAAATGGCCGCCGAGGAGCCTGAAACCGAAATAGTAACTGTGAGGTGGGATTTGAAAGGGACGGGAAAGTGACAATATGGGCTTAGATTTGTAGTTTTTCAAGCTTTTGTTTACACTGTGAGAATAGCATGGAAAGTTTTTAGAACAGCCAATTGCCTATTTAGATTAGAAAAGACAAAAGTTTTTAATAGATTTTTCCACCTTCCTAGTCCCTTGAAATCAAAACAGGGGGCGCTTCGTCGCTATAAAAGCTTGTTCAACGGATCGTGAAGTCGTAAGAATGCATGGTAAGAAGCTTCGGGGGATTCCGT